GACTCTGCCCCAGCCTGCAGGGCAAAGGGAAGTGACCAGGGGCAGCTCAGCAGGGCCCCGGCTGGCCCGGGCTTGGCCCGCGGAAGGGAGCAGGTGCCTTGGCGAGGGCAGCTGCTGTGGAGTCCAGGGGCAGAAGCCAGGCAGCCGGGCTCCAGATGCAGGAATTACGCGCCTGGCTAGGCAAGGCCCAGGGCCTGTAGAAACCAGCCTGGGGTACTGGGCATCCTGGCAGGAGGCTGTCAAAGCTGCACTAACCAAGGCCTCCCCCGCTCCACGGGAGTGCTGGAGCCCATCCAGCACCCAGGGCAGCCCCTGGGACGTCCGCAGGGCTCACCACTGCCCTGTCTCACGGGGGCATCGGGGCAGCTGGCCAGGCCAGGCACTTCCCAGCCCTGCAGGCCAGGTAACTGCTCCCTTTCTCCTGCTCCAGGAGCAGCTCTGGTGTGCCCTGCAGGAGGGGCTGATCGATGCCGTCGTCTCGGCCCATAGCCCCTGCTCGCCAGACCTCAAACTCGGGGAGGACGGAGACTTCCTCAGGGCCCAGGGAGGCATTGCCTCACTGCAGTTTGGTAAGGGGGCTGGCCGGGCAGCCTGGCTGAGCCTACCTAGGGTTGCCGGGGTCCAGTATTCGCCTGGACAGTCTGGAACGTGCGGCCTCTGTCTGGTAAAAACCCAGAAAATACCAGACATGTAAAACGTCCGGTATTGTCTGTTTTTCTCGGACAGAAGGCCGCTTGGGACATTCTTCCCTTGCCACATTGGGCAGGGGAAGTGGGAAGTGTGGGAATTTAAAGGCACAGTGACTTTTTTTTTGTGCAGGTTTTTTTTTATTTTTTTGTTCAACAGCTTTGGTCCTCCATTTGTTTGTTTTGCCCAACAAGTTTGGTTTAGGGTTGCCAGGTGTCCGGTATTCACCTGGACAATCCGGTATTTTCTGATTTTTTTCCCCGGCCAGGAGGCAAAAATGCCGGGCACCTGGCAACCCTCCAAACACTCAGTGCACAGCCTCCCTCCTCCCAAACCCCAACACCCCCAGCCCTCTGACCCCATGCTTACCTGGTTCTGCAAGGCTGCCGGCACAAAATGGCTGCTGGCAAAAAGACCAAGAGGACTCAATGACTCCCCTGGGTCTTAGTGCTCAATGTCTCCCCTGTTCCTATCCCTGCACTCACTCTTAAAGGGCACATGCTGTTTTAATGCTGGTTTATTTTAATTTTTTTTAACAACTTTGGTCTCCCCCCTTTTTATTCTTCAACAGAATTTTTTCCCGGTGTTTGTTTGTTTGTTTGTTGGGGGGGGCGGGTGTTCGGTATTTCTGTTTCAACCATCTGGCAACCCTAGTTTGGTCCTCCCCCTTTTTTCCCTCAACCAATTTTTTCCCCACCATGTTTGGTATTTTTTGTGAAAGCATCTGGCAACCCTAAGCCTGCCAGATGGTGCCCTGCAGGGCTGAAGTTCCGCCAGAGCCCTCTGGAGCAGAGCTGCTGCGGTAAATACAGTAGAACCTGTAGGCGCCCTTCTGCCTCCCCCTCTGCAGGGCTAAAGTCCCAAGGCCCCCCCAGCCCCCAGCTGAAGCCTGGAGCCCTCAGTGAGGGGGGCAGGAGACTGGGAAACAAGCCATAGTCTACACTCATGGTATCCGAGGGGATGGGGACTCCTGCAGACTCCAGTTGTGGCCCAGGGCGGTTTCTGCCTCATCTGCTGCCCAGCCCCACCAAGCCTCAAGCCGGCTAGCCCAGTCCTGCATAAGTCTGTTCCTGTTCTCCCACCATGTCCCTCTCCCTGCTATCTGGGCCCCTTCCAGGAGTGCAGCAGCCACATGGGGCGTCCCGGGCACACGTGTGTGTGGCTGTTTCATGACTGGCCATTGCCTGCTTTTAGCAGCAGGCGGCATGAGCGCGTCTGGCGCTTGAGGGGCGGCGGCAGGGCGGTGGGCATGTGCTCCACAGCCTTTGGTGGCTACGGCAGCTGTTGGAGCCCTGGCCAGCTCCAGACTGTTAGCAGCCCCTGTGGTGTCATGGGCAGCACACGCACTCACACTTCAGCGCAGACCCTTGCTCCCACCACTCTCGAATACGGTAGAGACCTCTCCAGGCACCGCAGCTCAGTCTCAGGAGCAATGTGTGGCCTTCCACGGGCCACGCCATAGAGCGGCCTGGATCCCCCTCCGTGCGTGCTGACAGCTACTGGGACCACACGCAGGGCTCCCGCTGTTCTGGACCTCAGCAAAAGCCAGGGGATTCTCCCTCCACGACGTGGTGCAACTGATGTGCACCAACCCGGCCCGCCTGAGCAGACTGGCTGAGCGCAAGGGGGCGCTGTGCCCAGGGATGGATGCCGACTTGGTGATCTGGGATCCCGACAAGGAGTTTGAGGTAATGATGGGCGAGGCGTGAGGCTCACGGTTGTAATCGTGGGGACCCGGGACACGTCTCTGGCTTGAGAAGCGCTTTTGGGATCTCCGGAGCCGCTGTGGCAGGCAGGCGCTGGACCGAGACCCGGCGCTTGGAGAGCGTTGTAGCTGCTGCTCTCTTTCGTCTCCTGTGACCTGTTGGCCGGAGAAGGAGCGCACGCTTCTGTGTGTCTCTCTACCGGAGGCAGTCCCTGCTGAAGCTAGTGACGAGATTCCCATTC